GCCAGTTTATATTCTTAATTCTTTTTTAATTAGATTTTTTTTTAAGGAAGATTATTTGTTTTGTTATTGTGTGTAAAATAGATTATTTTTCCTCCCTACTTTATCATGATGAATTACACTTTTATCACACCAGTATTTATTCCCCTCCAATATTTTTAACAAATTAGTAAACAGTTTTTCTCCTTTGCTTATTTTCATGATGTGATGTTTAGTCCTTAAAAAGCATAGACTTCCACTCCCATTCATTACAAACATTCACCCTCTTTTTTTTGCAGAATCAATCTGTTTTGCTTACACAACCTTTCCTGTTCTGAACACAGACTGGGGATAGGCATACCTGGTTAAGCAAGAAGTTTCTATACCCTGAAAAGAGGTATTAGCTGACTAGTATTAGGGTATATTTAATGCTTGGGATTGGTGATTCCTGTTCTTATACCCCGTTCTTATACCCTAGTTCTTAACCAGCAAAGTGTATGTGTGAACCATGCCTTCTTCCAGGACATTCTGTAAGGATCAGCAGCCAGGTTATCTGATTACACCTTCAGCATGGCATACAGGTTCACTTGTCTGTGGGGAAATATTTGCTTCTGGTTTATTTAGGCTTATGTTTCAGAATTTGATTGTTATCGTTTAGAGGGCAGGAGTACCTTGCAATGGGATCTGATTTGCCTTAACCCTTCTCCTAGAATTTGGGCTTGGGTTTGGCAGTGGCTGCAGCTAAGGCACTTTTGGAGGAAAGAAAATCCGATACAAGAATAGGCCTTTTGATTAGGTGCAGGACTCTTGTGCTTGATCCTAAGCCCCCCTGTAAGATTTTTAGCTTGAGGATTGTATTAAGGGCCACAACTTCATTTACAGGGTAAACCTCCTTTGGGCCTGTAGGGTCTTCAGTATGTATGGCTTAGTTGTGATTCCAGGAAGTGCCAGGTAATCTAGATTTTGCATTAGGTAAATAACATTGATGATAGAGGACTTTAAACTCAGACATTTATTTGTAAATTTTATTGGCACCATCCCAAATGGAAACAACAATAAAGTCCTGCTTTGTTCTTGGTTACTATCTGGATCTTTATCTACTAAGATGCCATGAGAATGCCAGTAATTGTGGTATTTTCATCCTGGTACTATTAGATGCTCTCTTGTTACAATGTGCAATGGTTTAACGTAAAAGTAGAGATGTTTTTTAAAGACTCAGAGTTTGGTTAATGCAGAGTTGGAGACTACAGTTCCGCTTGTTCTCATAATGTAACCAACATAGAGCTACTGTATACCAAAACTGTATTAAATATGTTAAATAAGCTTTAATATTAACGATAATGAGCAACTGCTACAAGTGTCGCATCTTTTTGGTAGGAAAAGAAAACCAAATAAGAAATTTCTGAACTACTTCTATGCATGGAAATAATTGAAATATGTATTTATTGCTGTTGTTAAATATTACTAGATTTGGAAAGCAACAGTATCTCTGCTAACCAAGATTAATTTTGATTTTAATATAATCATATAGGTTTAGCTTCATGTTTTATGTTTAACTTGAATGTTCCATCTGAGTCTGTGTAAATAGCTTAATGAAAATGCGAATGCAGCTTAGAGGAACTGATTCCTGCTGTGTGCGGCAACCCATAAAAGGGCAAAAAAATTCTATAGCAACTGTTGTTAAAAGGACAGATATCTTGTATGGGCATAGATTGTTTGGTCTGAGTATTAGCTGTCTACTTTTCAATATAGAATCCCTACTGGGTTTTGATCGAACTTGCTTTGAAAGTACATTGTAGATCAATACTAAAGTGGCTAATGGACTGTGTGCTAGTTAAATATCAGTGAAACATTCCTCCAAAACTCAAAGTTTCTGAATTTATTCAATAGTATTTGTAAAAATAAATCTGTTAGAAATGTGTAGTTCATATCAGAAAACTGATATAAATATTTTTATTCATAGTTAGTAATTCATTCTACTTTTTATAATAAAGCATTTCAGAATCCTTTTAGAATTACAGTACTTCAGGGTTATTCCTTATGCAATCTTATGTTAATCAAAATGTTTTACCCAATAAAATACAAGACATAAGGGCTTGAATAACTGTGGTGTGAGTTAAATTGCTAGATGGAGTTTCAGAAGTACAAGGGATGCCCTGAAAAAAATTGCACTGATTTGAAAAATTCTGCTGGTTCTAAAGGAATTCTTATTCTGTATTTTTGATCTCCTGAGTAGAATCTTTCAAACTGGTGAAACTTTTAAAGCAAGCTTGCTTTAAGCAGGTGAGAATAACAATACATAAATGTATTCTTAAAGGCTTTTGTTTTTCAATGTAAACTGTTTATGGATCTAAATAAAATTACATTTAACATGCAGTTATTCTGTTTGTGAATCTGAGTTGCACTGCAAAGGGAGTGCAGATAGACCAGTGCTTACTGGAAATATTATGTCCCCATGGATGCTAGAAAAAGCCTGCTGGGGAACAACCCTCTTTATGCTTCAAAAATATGTACGAAGCACCCTCCCCAACAAGGTCATCACATCACAAAGGTATGACGGTGCCATAGAGCTAACATCTCTTAGGCTGCTAATGCTTTTGATATTACTAGCCACTCCTCCACCGATGCTTTACACTTCCTCTTATACTGGGACCTAGCCTCTCCTATATGGATGCACTGGAAGGAAAAAATTCATTTGTGCTCACTTCCTCTCTTCAGTACTCTTACACATTGGGGGCATAGTTTAGTCCTTACATTTTCAAAACAAAATATTTGAAAATAATTTTCTTAGTTATTTACCTGTCGTGTCCTGAGTTTGAGGTTCTATGGTACTTCCCTGGCATATGTTGGTAGCATCAGAGGGGATAGCTGTTCTCTACATGCAGCTTTAGATGCTTTTTTTATTTATAAAATATGCCTCTTTGAAATTTCTAGGTGCATGTACGTATTAAAGAGTAATCATTACAAGCTGACTCAATGTCTCTAAAAGAATCAACAACTTTCCACTCCCAAAAGTGTGCCACAGGTCACTTCCTCAGGTAAAGACCTATGTAAAGAGGTGGACCTTGCAGTGTACTTGTGATGTATTGAACAAATGGGGGAAATAAGTTCTAGATGGGAGATGCTCTCTCAAAGACATCATGCTTCCAGTTTGCAGCCATTTAAATCTGAGGATTCAGTTTAAGCATTTCTGCTATCTCAGCTGTTGTGATCTTTTGTGACAAATCTGCTGAACAAAGAAAGGTTCTGTGGAATTGGGGGGCTGGTTGGTGATGAGTTGGTCAGAGAGGCAGATGATCTGGGGCACATGGGGGGGATGGTGACATTTTGAAGATATTTGGTAGATTGCTTATTCAGATCCAATATGTACTACAGCCTAGCAGCTAAGGCAACTTAAATTGTTTGCCCGGAGACATGATATAGCTGGTGAGCTACCAAGTACTGCACTGAAAAGGGATTGTGCACCACAGCTTTCCGTCCACCCCCTGAAGAAGGGAGGATTGTACTATAAAAATGAAGCATGTACTTTAGTGCTGGGCTGAATAGGGATGAACTTAACCATGTTCTTATGTGCTTTGATGAACTGGAGCCTAAGGCATCCAAGATCTAGTCTTTGAAAAATCAATATGGAAGGGAGCGCTTGAAAATATCAAAACAGGGTTTTAAAATGACATGTCAGTGGCTTTAATGTAACAGCTCTTTAGATAATACTCTTACCATTTACAAATAAATATAACATAAAGATCATTTGAAGATGATTTAGGGATACTTTTGGACAAACTCAGTAATGTGCTGACAGATCACATGAGGGAAACTCATTCTCTCAATTCTTAAGCATTGAACTACATTGTAAACTAGAATTTAGGAGAATTTGTGTAAAGCAGCACCTAAGGTTGCCAGAGTTAGTAGGAGCAGGAGGAGGCAGTGATCATTGGCATAAATATGTTTGTCTTCAAAGTGGCCTGCAGTTTGTGTCTGAAAGGCTCCTCTGTTTCATTATTGTAAGGATCCACATAAGGAATGTCTTTGATCCTTTTTCTTCCCAATGCCAGAGGTATCTTTTACCCTATTCTGGGCTTTTACTATGTGTAAAAGTCTGTGGTAGTAAAATGTTCTATTAGCTGAGTCAGGTGTGTATTCTAATATTTTATGCAGGACCTCAAATTGTCTGCCTTACCTACATCTGGGAAAAACCCCTCCAACCTGGCGTATTTTTTTTATTTTTATTATTTTTTATTTTTAACCATGAAGGCATATGCTCTTGACGGGTAGGTCCTTTGCCTGCATGACAATACTCCCTGCAGTATATCTCTCTGAATCATTATCATGGAAATAATATGCAGACTATACATTGATGTATTAAAATATTTAAAACCTTCTCTATGCTAGTGGAGTTTATGGAAATTAAACAGTTACCAGAATAATATAATTTAGGGGAGTCTTCCTCCTGTAATTTGATATGGTCACTATACAGTAGAGATAGATACTCTTTTATGCAATTAAGGGATAACACAGGAGTTACAATATAATTTTACTGTTTCCAGTTACTTTGATTAGCATCTATTAGCTTGCAGTAAATACTGTATATATTTACCTTGTCTCATCACTGTGTGTTTTTGACATGTCTACTTAGTATTCTTCATATTATTCTTACCTTCTTTTCCAAAGGCCACACAATTTACTGCATTAACAATTCATCTGACCTCTTTTAAACCTTTTGTATGACTATGTAATGACTCCCAGAAAAGACAGGAGGAGTCTTTAATTTGACAGTGAAATTGGTGAAAGAAAATAGTTATGTTTTATAATTATTGCCTGCTTAATCAAATTAGCTGCACACACATTAATGTTATATTTAGCACAACAAATAGACAAATAATCTGATGATAATCATAACACGTTGGTGTCCAGTCAGAATTTCTGCTTGCTTTTGCCATTGGTTTAAGTGCAGTTAAATCAGAGTAATTTTGTACAGTAGTTAAGATTCGTAACTCAACCTTCTAACGCGCTCTGTTTAAATTTAGGGAGAGCCTATCACTTTCTGTGAGGACAGTTTTGTGAAGCATCGTTCCAGTACTACCAAACAGTTCCTGGAAACTGCAGTGAATCTTCAACTTTTTAAACAGGTATGACAGGCCAATTGACCTCGTGATCTAACAGTTTCCTTCTAACAGATATCAGATATATATGTTCTCCTCTCTGCCTCTGTATCAACGCCTGCCAGCTTTTGAAAGCTCTCAAGAAGACCATTTTGAGAGGAAATATAGGAGAGAGAGGGAATGGCAAATGTTTAACTCCAATGAGTGTGGAAAAAATCTTCCCAATCCCATTGTATCTTAACACAGGCACAGAGACAATCCCCACTTTTACCCCAAAATGACTGGCTGTGTTTGCCTCTGGAGCCAATCAAGAACTCTCTTGACAAGGAAAAAGCAAGGAGCTCCCTGCTTTAGAAGCTGAACTTTTCAGCTTCTTCAGTATAGTCAGGCTCTATTGGTCAACGGACAGAGGACCAAAGCACTTAACACTTTGTTCGTCAGAGACTGAGTCTGATTTAAGTACTGGATCCAAACTGTACTTGCTTCTTTGATTGGTAGAATCCACTAACCATGTGTACACAGAATTTTTCAAAATCAAGACCTCAGCCAAACAAATAAATTAATAGTTTCATGAAAATTCCTCCATATTGAGGTTGGTTGAGCACAAAACAACAGTTCCTATGGAGGATTTACAGCTCAGTAATAACTATTGTAGTATTCACACAACATGGCTTCAACAAGATCCATTATACATTTTTTTCGTGCTATTATCTCCTGGCTTTTCTTTTTGTCCTCCCTTCGATTCCCTTATGTAATTTAGTTGTTTGAAAGCGGGTCAAGAGACTGACCATAAACTTGTAGACCAGTAAGCTTATCTTTGTTTGTGGGCAAATCTGAGAAAACATCTTAAGGGATAAGGTGGGAAAACTTCTAGAAAAAACATGGTTTGATTAAAGCTAGCCTGAATGAATTCAGGCAGGGGAGTGAATGCTTAACTAATCTGCTAGAGTTCTTTGAAGATATACTACCATAATAGATAAGGAAAATTCATTGGATGTAGAATACTTTGATTTTCAAAAAGCATTTGACAAGTTTCTGTATCAAAGATTAATGGCTAAGGTAGAGATTTATGGAATACAAGGTTGCTAGCTTGTAGTAGTCATAGGTAGACACTTTTCTAATTGGACAAAATTATGGAAATACCTACAAATAAATAACATAAATACAGACTTTAAAAATAATAGATGGAGTACTCCAGGGATCAACTCTTAGAATCCAATTTATTTTATTTTACTGTATTATATGTGCAGGGGCAAAGGTTTCATTTATATGAAGTATTAAAAGAGGTATTTAAAACATTTATAAGTGTTCAGCAGATTAAGATTGGTGGCAGAGAAAGGAATATAACATGGAAACATCGTTATTTTTATTGCTGTGATCCAATGTTACATGTTTCTGAATATCTTCAGCTATCAGGGATATTTTTCAATAGAAGGCTACTGCACATGCTGAAGAGTCTGAATTATGATATGAGTATTGTGGCCAGATCCTCAGATGGAGTAAATTAGAGTAGTTCCACTGAAGTTATTAGAGCTATGTCCGTTTACATCTAGCTGTTCAATTGTAATTTATATTTATTTTAAAAATTACTTAACAATTTTATTATTTTTCTAATGTTTCTTCATACCGAGGGAGATAATATACCTTTGAAGATGAGAATATATTAAAATTATTATATTTTAAACATTTTTATTAGCTAATATGTTGCCTTTCCTTTAGTTATGATCTGCTGTGTTTCCTCCCACTTCTCTAATTAATCCACAGCCCAGCTGCCTCATCTCCAGCAGTTCCGCACTGACAACTGGGCTGCTTTCAAGGTTGTTCGTGTTTTCAAAGGCTAACATGAGTTTACTGGGTTCCTGATACTGAGCATTCTTTTTAGCAGAAAATAATTCTTGAAAGCAGCCTAGACACCTAGGCTGGACTGCCTGGAGGTGTTTTAACCGCAGTTTTTTTCCTGCATATATGCTTTGTCTGCCACTTTCAGAAGTGCTGCCCTGGCATTTATTCTTTTTTCGTTTTTGCAACTGAGGACCATTCTTACCACCAAACTCGGTAACACTTCGCAATGGATGCAGTACTTTCAATGGTGGGTTTGCACAAGGGAATAGCTAAATCAAGAACCATTACATGACTATACTAGCTTCTGATAGCTGACCTAAATTATGTGTAGCTCCTTGTTATCCAGAACAAACACTTGTCTTCATTGTCTGTTGTTTACTTTATTATGTATCTGACCAAACTTATTCTATATCCCACATGCTATTTGAATAATAATATGAATTATTAAGCTTTGTAATAGAAATTTAATATCAAAGATGGCCTGGCCACTGTTGAGAGCAGTGGTTGTGAAGTGTGTTTTTCAAGATCTCTGAGGTTGGTCAGGGAAGAAGCTATAGACCAGGGGTCGGCAGCCTTTCAGAAGTGCTGTGCCGAGTCTTCATTTGTTCACTCTAATTTAAGGTTTCATGTGCCAGTGATACATTTTAACATTTTCAGAAGGTCTCTTTCTATAAGTCTATAATATATAACTAAACTATTGTTGTATGTAAAGTAAATAAGGTTTTTAAAATGTTTAAGAAGCTTAATTTAAAATTAAATTAAAATGCAGAGCCCCCCGGACCGGTGGCCAGGACCCCGGCAGTGAAAGTGCCACTGAAAATCAGCTTGTGTGCCGCCTTTGGCACGTGTGCCATAGGTTGCCTACCCCTGCTATAGACTGTAATGTTGCACCTAACGCCTCTGCTATCTTTTGTTGTAATTAGTTTATTTCTTTTGTTTAGCACATAAGTGTCTCAGATACTGCAGTTACTTCATATCAAAAGTGTATCTGAATATTATGTTACTGCAGTGGATAACTTCGCAAATGCTGACATTTAACTAGTAGTCTGTAAACAAATTCAAGACATACCTATATTTGTTTTGTGGAAAAAAGGAAGAAGGGGCGAGTAAAAAAAGAAGTCATTGGAATTAAGTAAACCAAAAAGGGCAAGCATTCTGTGTTTAGATGCCTTTTTTCTTTTCCTAAAGCTTCTTAGATTATTAATGTATTGACTGCTTTGACTCTAAGAAGTGATGTGTACAAATTTAACATTCTTACTCGGCAGATCTGCTCCTTGTGTATGTTCAGTGTCAGATCTTTTCACTTTAGTGACAAAAACATTTTTTTAACTAGTTTTTCCTCCTGTTGGCCTTGCATCTGTTGGAGAGGTAGTTGGATCATTTCATCATCAGAGATGTTAACTATACTCCAATTGCAGGGCAAACTTTTACTCACAGACACATTTGCACTACTCTATTGAAGTCAATGGTGTAGCATTGGTGTAATGGAGGGCAGGCTTTGACTGACATATTCTTTGTTACTGATGATGATGCATTAGCCACAGAGAACACAGATTTCAAATCCCAGGATAAAATTTCATAGGTGGAAATTAGACTGTCTGCTTAAAAACTAATATTTTCAAGACAAAAATGCATTAAGCTTGATTAGGGTACACATTACAGGAGTCTTGTAGTGATCCTCAAATCAAGCATAAATAAGTCCTGGAAATTCAGAGTTCAGGTTAAATTTAAAAGAAATCTAACCACCTTCACTATGCCCTGAAGTGACACTATGCAGTAAGAATACAATTATGATTTATGCATATTAGGGTTTTTGGTCCCAGATTAGATTAAATTTATTTTTAAAGACACACTAGAATAGGTTTTTCATGGTGTCAGCAGGGGACTGCTGCCTTCGTAACAGGAATCATTAAAGTCTTCTCAGTTATATAATTTTTAGTGTAGAATCTGGCCCTCCTCCTGCTATACTTCCCCATTGACATGGCAATATTTTAACTAAAAGCATTTTTATATGGAACAGGGTTCATAGCCCTGAGGGCATTTGGTGCCCTTTTTTATAACCCATTTGCAGACTAGATTTTTAGAGTTTCCCTCAGCCCTGATCAAGACTTTTTGTGTTTAAAACCAAGATAGCTTTATTCTTTAGTTCTAAGAGGAGATTTAATTTCAGTAGATAAAGCTTTGTGCCTGAGAAGAGGTCCATATTTTAAATAAATAAGTCAGATCTGCCAATTTTTTCTTCAGCTTGTATTTCCTTAGATTTGATGGCTGTGTTACTCCTTTTGCTACCACTGCTTTTCTTCAGCCTTTCGGGATGGCTTATTAATATATGGTATCTATACCCTGGCTTTTTTTCCAGTCCTGAGAAGTCTCTCCTTTTATTAGGATGACATAATATTGCTGTTGTTAAACCTCATGCTAGAAGTCTGAAGTTTAGCTACTGCTTGTTCCCAGCTTCAAACACCAGCTATAAGTAGTTGTATTTTGGACCTTAAATATTTTTGATGGGTGTCCAGTGAAAATAATAACTCAGTCATAAGGAATATCTGGACCAGCATGGAGATTTTCTAAGGTACATACTGTTAACTATAAATCCCCATTGTATAACGTATTGGCATTTTTGCTCACTGCACTCTGCATTGCTCCAGTTTTTCCCACTGCTTATATCTTTTTCATTCTTTCTACGAACATCCAGCTGGTTCGGCAAGTTGCCTGAATTGTGAGACCTTTGCCTGAGCACTCAGATGCATTTTTTTTAGTGTGTTGGTGTTTATTGTTTTGGGGCTCCAATGTACATTTTCCTTTCTCGTTGCATCAGCAACCACTTAGTGTTTCCAGCATACTTTTTCTTTTTATGTACCCCATCTTCAAAGGAGGAAAGAGCCCTGTTCTGCAGCTTCAAGCCATGCAGCAGAACTATGTTCATTATAGACAATCATGCTCTTTGCACTGTGCCTAGAAGTCAACCCCAGTGCACAAATGTTAGACTTGCATTCAGATATCACCCTATGTGATAAGGAAACATGGGGAGCACCTCTCAAGCCTCTTGGAACATCCCAGGAAAACACCTGTAAGTCTAGCACAGAATAACCTGGCTAGAGCATTCAAAGGGTAAACCCTTGAAAGAAAGCTTGAGTCAGCCAAGACCAGTGAGCATCAGGAACTCAGTGCTAGCAGCCTCCCTAACGGCTCCAGCAAAGGCAGTGTGAATGCTTTATGAAGTTCTGTTGGTGCTCTAGGCCACCACTTCACTGACATAATTCTAGCTGCTTGAGTCAGAGCAGGCAGAAGTTCAGGGTGATAAGGACTGCTATCTGGACTCAGATACATATCCACTATGAAGGGGCACCAAGACAGCAACTTCATGAGAAATGAAACTGTTTCCTCCAGATTTTGCAGAAGCTGTTACAACCTTGCCTATTTTTTCTTGTGTGTCACTCCTCAAGCTTCCTCCTCCTCAAAAGTGAGAATACTCACAGATTATATCTACAGAGAAGCGGAAATTACGTACCTGTAATTCTGCTTCCCTGAAGATACAGTTTACGCCAGGATTTTCATTCATTCGCCCACGTCACTTCACAGGGTGGAAATTATTTTCTTTAAGGGATTTCTTTCTTGTACTTGATTGTTTTTTTTCCCTCTGAAGCATATTGTGTTACCTAATTTTGAATTAATTTATCATGGAAGCTTTGTCTTCTGCACAACCAAATGAATTGGCTGGCATCACCTGTTCGCTACAGGCAGTGGCACACACAGGCAGTGGCCAAGAGAATTGGCTCATATTGTATCCTCAAAGGGCGAAATTCTTTAAGAACTCTGGAAGTCCTGCTATTGTTTTACTAAGGAGCTAAGACCCAAAGGAAGAATCCTATCAGAATTATGTCTTCAGAGAAGCAAAATTGCAGAGAAGTATTTTTACTTCTGTGTTAATTATGCAGTGCCACTGAGTGGTTTGTCAATAGTGGGTATCAAACTCTGGTTCTGTGGATCTAAAAGCATGAGCTTCTACCACCTTAACTAAAATACCCTGATCTAATAGCTCAAAGACAATACAGACTCAGAAGCCTTTCTGAGGTCCAGCCTACAGAAGGGGACAGAGAGCCATGCTTTGTATACTTGGGCTTTACTAACGTTATCCAAGCTTTCTGCTATGTACTACTTAAAAAAAAAAAACTGGAATGGCTTTACTCTCACTTCTGATACTCAATATAATTAATAATACTATCACTTCCTTCAAATAAGTTTCTATCGTTTCTGCTAACAGTTATATTTGGCAGTATTTACTTTTAAATGTTTTGCCAGACTAATCCTTGCACTGAAAACTAAAAGTCAGCCTCTCCATTTTCTGTTGATACTTTACCAAATGATGAGCGTGCCCATAAATCATGCGTTGGTTTATGGCATGGAGTGAATTCATAACTTTCCCCAAAGAGATAATGTCTTGCAGTTCAACGACTGTTTTCTGCACAGCAGTAGCTAAAGATGCTCTTATTGCTCTTATCTCTTTTTCTTACTGTGAAATAATCCAGTGATCCCATAGTGGTCTGACCATGAACCAAACCCATTTGGAAAGAAGCCTACTTGGAGTCAGAATGAAAAAATAAAAAGGAGTCTAGCCAAGAAAGAACAGGGAATGATTATCTTCAATAGCATGTGCTCTATTATTATTGCTGCTGGAATTTTTCGTACTTGAAGAATGGAGTTTGTTTCATGTCATCAGTCTATCCATTGACAAACATCAGATTGCCACTGACAGTACTGTTTGGATAATCTGTGATAATGTATGACACTCAGCCAAATAATTAATTTCTGTTAGCTTCTATGTGCTATTTTAGTGAAAGTGAATAACTAGTAACTCCTGCTAGAAAACGAATAATCAGTAAAATGTTTTCTCAATTAATCTCTGCTCAGACTTGAGCTAGCCTATTCATACTAAAATGCATAGATTAGTTCTTGAAAGCATTCTAGAAATGCCAACGTTTCTGTCTTAATCCTGAAAAGCAAACTGAGTCTTTAAAAGAATGTGTTCATTTCTTCTGGGAGGTTATAGTAGATGATTGTTTATTTTATGTTCACCGTTCTTTGTTTCTGACATATTTGGGCCTAATTTTTAGCCTTTGCATGCACATATATGCAAACACAAATGCATGCACTGGCATATGCACCTAAATATGGACATGTGTTAGAATGGACATCTGCAAATCCCATTAAGTGAAAGTTGTTTTGTGGGTGAAAATTCTGACACTTCCATGGATTCATGCACACACACACACAAATGTGCAGGTGTTAGATTTTTCAAAGAAGCAGGCATGTATGTGTTTGCACCTGAAAAGTGTGTCTGTATGGATCAGTATGAGCACACAGGCAGGTGTAGACTGGCAGAGGTCAAGCTTAAAATATGGTTCTGTGTTACACAGTACTGTACTTCTATTTTGGCACTCAGTGAATTGAGTTCTCCTACATTTAAATGAAATATCCTTCTAAGCTTATTGTTCCTGTTGCCACTGTTCTTTAAAGGCTGCAGCTAACAGCTTCTCTCCGTCCATATAAAATGATTGTGATCCAAACTCTTCTCAGTTTGCATAACTCCTCAGCCAGCAGAGTTTCAGTCCTCAGCCAGAATTCTCAAGTGCACAGTCAGTGGGCATCAGATATCCCAGCTCAGCCTTGCTTTGCACTAGAGATGGTCAAAATTTGTCCAAATTTCAACTACAAATCTTCTGCATTTTACAACTAGCTTTTCCTTCGGATTCAGTGATACTTATCTGGAAAGGCAGATGAGGCCAGCTCATGACTCTTCAAACACAACACGAGTGAACGTCTCAATTTCCATAAGTGATTATAATTTTAAACCTGAAATTAAACATTTATTATGAAATAAATTTAATAAACTTTCACATCATCTGCTGTGAAAAAGAATGAGCTAGAAAGCAACTTAAAATACTTTCAAAGCAACAAGTGATTTGGAATTTCATTCTGGGAATGACCTTGTTAGTTTAAAATATTTCAAGTTTTATATTTGTTCACACACACAACAAACAACACTAGTAGAGAATACTAAAACCACTGGTGCAATGGTGATAATATTTCTGCCACTTGTCTCTATATCCACTGTTACAATATCTATCCAAAATTATTACAGCATTCTTGTGATCTGTTATATTCTTAACATAGATATTTTACATGAAACCTAAGAAAAGGTCAACATAGTTTTGACTAATGTTTTTTATATTCCAGTTTATTGATGGTCGACTAGCAAAGCTAAATGCAGGAAGGGGGTTCTCGGATGCTTTTGAAGAAGAGATCACTTCTGGAGGCTTCTGTAGAGGTACAGAATTATTTCAGGAGCATTTGTTTCAATATATCATTGTCTCTTCCACAGGAACAGTTGAGGATGATATCATATTGACTTGAACATAGTCAGATAAGCACTTATCTGGTTTAAATGCCTCTGATTCATTCTTAGCAGAGTTTCAGTCCATTATATATCAGTAGCAGAAAAACTGATTAGCTATTTAGCCAAACATTTCCAGTGCATTAAATGAAAATAAATGGAATTGTTTTACTTTAATAAATTAGTTTTTATAAAATCAAGATCAGAATAGATTTTATTAGATGTTTTTAAAGTATTGGCTTGCTTAATAACTGATTAGATATTTACTGGTTAAAGTATATTTTTTTTAATAATTACAAGACTTTAGTTCCCTAGTTCCTTTCCTTTTTAATAATGGTTAATTTAGTTATTTTCTAATGTCTCTTTTAAACATTCCTTCATGTACCTCATGTAGTTTTGCAATATACTTAAGCCAAATTTCTCCAAAATATGAGTAATTACTATCTCAAGCAAAATGCACTATGCTTAAATAAATAATCTTAATGTGCAGTTCTACTCTAAAAAGTGACAGTGTAAAAGTATATCTTCTTCCTAAGCATACCTACTATTTCCTGCTTGTATCCAGTCATATCCACTGACTTCAGTGACTGAAATAAATTTTACTATTTTTAACTCCTGCTAGCCTTGCCAAGCCAGCACATCTAAGAAAGCATAAGGTGGATCCAATTCCATGTTCTGCATTTCCAACAGGATTGTCTAATCATTTCCAGTTACATGGCAAGTCAGTTATACCTTTTTAGTTATAAACCAGCTATATTTCCTACAATAAATGTGAGCCCCCACAATGCCATTTTTACAGTCAATTTTCATAGCAGAACCTCAGTTTTCTGTATAAATGTGAACTGCGTGAGTTGAATCAAATCGCGTCTCTTAGGGCAGCTTTGTGACAGTCTTATGCTACAAAGCTACCCTCGAGCTAGCAGATCCCCTCCTTTTAAGGCAACTTACTCATACAACTTTATGAATAGTTTTTATGCAGTGGACATGTCCATTCAGATAGGTAATGTCAGTGCTTAAAGTTCCTTTGCTCTTTGCAGTTAAGAGGTCAAAAGGGTGCAGTGAAATAACATTAGAACTTGGATAAAGTTAGGTTCTTGGCTCTACATTGATATGTTTTGTCAACCACATGTCTTATCTGGCTATGCTCATGAGGGAATGTTCACCTTCACTAGCAGTTTTGTGTTAGAATTTATTGTATCCTTAATTTTCAAGTCAGACAAGCTGTACCACGTTGTGAACAAATTGCTTAGGGCACATATTCAATATTTACATAACTGCTGTCTCATTATCATTATGAGGTGCAGGCAGAGCAACAAGTATGGAATTGAGGGTGACATTTTGTGACACTAATGGGGTAGAACTGTGGTATTTTTCATAGTTAAATCCCATCAACTTTGCCATTGGTTCAAGACTACACAACTGGGTTGATACCAGCTTTCAGAAAGGTCACTAAAAGTCAAAGTAACCTATGCATTGTTGAAGGGGCAGGTGAAGACATCATGAAGAACAGTGATAAGATTTTCATGCTATTGAGTCAAAAGAAAGGACTTTCTTTCAGCCTCTCCATTTTCGTTAATACTTTATTGCATTTTCCAACAAATACAAACATAGCTAAACTATGTAGAAATTTTAACTGCAAATTTGAAGCAATGCTTGCATTTAATCAGTTATATATCTATAAATAATTTTTTCTTTAAATATAATGATTAAAAAATACACTTTTTCAGTCTGAAGGATGAAAAAAAAATTGTGTACCATATCAAAATGGCATTCTGTATCATGCAACATTCTCATTAAAACTTTTTCACAAGTTTCCACCTTCCCTCACATGCATTCTCCTATAGAGGTAAATATAAGAATCATCAGTGTGAATATAACTTTCAGTGCACTGCTAGGATTATTGATGGTGCACCTTGTGTCCTTTTTCTTCTACTCTGTGTTAGCTCTGCTGGAGGGGCAGAGTTGTTGAGTCCTTATTGTACCTTCTAGGTGTGCCACATGAAAAACCAATTCTGTTAGGTAGTGGAAAGTTTGATCCCCACCTGCTGCAAAACTTTTTTCAATCAATTGTTTTGCAAGGTAAATGTAAAGTGGAGACAGGGAATGGGGAAGGATATGCCATTGCAGTCAAAGACCTGGGAATAATGTTGAGAATCAGGTGTTCAACACCCTACCTCCCAGAAGCCTACCAATTGGAGGGGTATTAGGATTGCTAATCATCTTTGTTTCCGTTGGGCCATCTGCTTTTTCTTCTTTTTTCTCTCACACACTTTCACACTATGCTTCACTGCATTCCCTTTCACAATAGGAAAAGCATTTTTTATTGATGGAAAAAATATCTCATGTTTATGCCAAAAACCTATTAAATGAATTTTATCAGTAGAACTTTCTTTAATATGGTCATATTGGAAAATAGCCTAAAACCCAGTGTCAGCCTGTGTTGCATTGCTGCTGTTCAGTTAAAACTTTATGCACAGTTATTTAAACTTGTTGGCCCCTGGTCACAGCTGGCTGCTCAGAAATAAAAACTACAAGTCTTGTAATTCCCAGCAAATTGCCTTCATATATAAATAAGTATTAGCAAGAAATTTAACTGGGAATTTTTCCTGCTTCTATAACAGCAAACAGTCTGCACCTATCACCTAATTTTTCTTGGACTGGGGCTTGGTAATAATTTTTACAGATATATTTTACTCATCCAGAGAGGGTTTTTTTCATAACCAGAATGTATTGGCAAATAAGGGAAGAAAATATCAGCAAGCATTCGTATTTTATTAGTACACTAATTTTTTTAGTTGTGGTGACAACCTTGGAGCTACTAGTGGGAAAAGATTCTACTTAATAGTGAAGAAGTCAAGAGACTTTGAACCTCTGTTGGGAATGTGAGTTTTATAATAAGAATTCAACATTTTCCTATTTAAATTTGAGGTAGTTCAGATATTGGGTCCGCATACATGGTGTTTGCGTCATGTTTTCCCTGGTTGAGTATGTATCTGTTCTTCTTCACTCATTGACTAGTAAATGGTAGAACTTTGGAAGGATTTGTGATCTGCAAGTCTCCCCACCAGTGCACTGGTCTAATAAATCTCTTATTAAATTACAAAATCTCATCCACTGTAATCTCTGGTAACAAATGGAATTCAGAGGGGCCCTGATAAACATATTTCAAGTGCGGGAATTTCTTTCTTAAGCAAGAGCCGATGGTAGTCCATTATTTCAATGGGTTTTTGATTAAGCCCGAAATGATTATGTGGTTAAGTTTGCCATGACCATGAGCACTAAATTGTTACATTAGCAAGTTCATTATATTAGTGAATGAGTAGTGGCTACATTCTACTTTATGATGAGGAAATAGTTTTTGTGTGTATACTATGTCTCCTCCAATAACACTAGTGAGCCCAGTCAATCTTAAAAGGACAACTGTTCAGTCTTTGTGAATGTAGCGTATTGGTTAAGGCACTTCTGCTGGGGATAAGGGCACAGTCAATGCTAGTAAGCTCTCTTTTCCAGCTTGGCATCCCTTTCACTCACTGCACCATTTCTGAGAATTTGGGTATTGCAGAATTGCTTGCAAGGAATTTAGTGCAATGGTATGGAACATTTAAATGAAAGCATTTCTATAAGTCCAAACAGCTAAATCCCTTCACTTGTTTCCTTCAGAAATTGCTGTAATACCTTTTACAATTATCCAGTCAGTCCTCAGACACGTTCGATGAGAGCTAGGTTGTTGGTGTTTTGGCTTTCCACCAGCCAATCCAGGTTCTAGTTATTAGATTTATTTCAAAGCTTAAACTTTTGAAATCTCCTGTTAAAAAGCCGATGTTTTGTCAAAGGATATCATTGTGTTCTTTGCAAAGTTGATAAATTATCTCTTTGAGCAACATGATTTTTGTGATCTCAAATATTTTGCTTGGAAGTATTAATTCATGGTAACTATCATTGTACTTCACAATATCAGTAAATTCAAGTGATTAAGCTACTCTTAACATTTCTCAAAGGTAAGGAAGTCAGTCTTGCATGTTCAATTGAAGTGTCTTCGGAAGGCTGTTGTTTCAGTTCTACCTCAACCACCTTATCAAATTTTAGCGTATCTTTTGTGGCCAATTTAATAATATAATAGCACCCAATGATCTTATCTATGTTGATAGTTGTCTTACTCATCCACTTGCCTTCTACACTGTGAAAGAAAGAACATGTAATTTATAGTGGGTTTCCCTATAAGGGAGATGTGACGCGATATTAAGGTCCTTGTTCCTGTTGCTAGTCCTTTTCCCTCTGATATTAAGATGGTAGTGTCTGAAGCGCAATTCATTTTCTCACTGCAAGTTTTTCTTTTTGCCCAGAGGAATAGGGGAAGGAACCCAATTCTGGGTAAAAAGGGGGAAATCACCATATCCAATACAAGATATATTCTTAGCACAATATATATACACCCCTCCTTCAGACTTTTATTTTTTTTTCTTTTGTTTTTAGTGAGTCTGAATATTTGATTGCGACTTTAATTTCTTCTTCGAGTGATTGCTCCTGTGTATTCCACAGTAGGTGTGCGTGCTCGCCACGTGCACCGGTGCCAGAAGTTTTTCCCTTAGCAGCATCCGTAGTGGGGGAGCACCGCTGCGACCCCTGGAGTGGCGCCGACATATCGCGCTATAAAGGGGGCTGCATGCTCCCCCCACCCTCAGTTCCTTCTTGCTGCCAGTGAAGGTAGTCGGAACTTGTGCTCCAGCTTTGCTGCAGCAATTCTAGCCTTAGTAGTATCCAGCTTTCCCTGAAGTCACTTGTTGAACTTTTCTCTGTTACTGCTGGGCTCGGGGCATGCCCCGTGGCCCAGACTTCAAGTCGTGCAACTCTTGTCGCAATCCTATGCCCAGAAGCGATCAACGTACTCTGTCTTCGCTATCTGGGTGAGGCTCACATTAGTGAGAAATGTAAAA